AAAAAAAAAAAAAAAAAAAAAAAAAAAAAAAAAAAAAAAAAAAAAAAAAAAAAAAAAAATCGAATTTGGGAAACACAAATTAAATAAAATTGCATAATTTTTTGATATATAATTTAACATAAACAATATTATATGATACCTCAATAATAAAATTTAACAAATCAAAAATACATTATCAACATCTCATAGAATGATCCAACAAGGACAGTGATAGGTGACATTGCTATGGAATGAACTTGGGGAAAATAATTATGTGTTGTCATCGTGGCTTGGAGCATAGAGAGATTTTTTTCAATGAACATAAGAATTACATACTAATACTGCAGCACAAGAGTTGTTGAAAAAATATAATTAATCTCGTTCATAACATAGTCATTTTAAATCAAGTGAAATCAGCCGCTCATAAGCATTATGGTAAATAGGTTTAGCATCTTACCACTTTAGGTTCCAAACTATTGAAATTTTTTCTTTGATCTTTTGTTTGAGATTAACTGTTAAGGCTTGTGGAGAAAAGCTACTGGTTTTTAAGGGGTCCAGGGGCTGGAAAAAACAGCAAAAAAAAAAAAAAAAAAAANAAAAAAAAAAAAAAAAAAAAACAACATCTCTGAACTTTCCTGCGTTTAGTATTTGGTCTGGCCTATTTGACTGGCTTAAAGGTGACCAATTTCAAATGCAAAAAGATGAATGCTGTATTAGATTTTTGTAGTTGTTCCCAACACACCCTGTCAATTGTAAAGTTGAGTTGAGGCTAATAAGAATTTTTTTTTTGAAATTCATCCTTTATTGTCAAAACAGTGTACAATACAATGAACATGACATAGTTGGAATAGCCTAAAATTAACAACAACTGCCTTTGCGTTAGGCATCAATCTGTTTTGGATGACAATTTTTAACTACAGTAAAGGTTTGGGCTAGGGGCGACTTGTCCCCAGGCTTTGGATAACTGTGAGGACCAAAAACCGATGTGGTGAGATCACCTCCGAAGCAGATCAGTTACCAGCATCATTATGGAGAAAAGATCCTCAGTACTGCAGAATGCCATGATGGCTGGTGTGGGGGAAAAAGCCGAGGCATAAAAAACCCCCACAAGTTAATTGTCCGAAGACTTGCAGAAGATTGGGGCGACGAGGCCCCAAAATGAAAGATTGAGCCGCATCCCAAGTAGAGATGTGCGAACAGGCGGGGCAGGTGGCGATTTTTCAAACTATTTCATTTAGCCGATTTGCCCAGGAACACCAAGCAGACACACAAAACTAATGACACGGCTCGTGGTGGGTTCACCTGGCGCCCACGAAGGGTGTAAAAAGCCCCCCGCTTCGTCCGGTAAATACCCGTCGTCGTTCCGTTAATTAGGCCAGTCCGTCTCTGCGAATTCACCTCCGCTCCTCCCGTGCACCGCGCCGACCGAGCTAGAGAACGTGGTGGAGTCCCCTCCTCCCCGCGGTCGAGCATGTTGGCTAGCTACGTAGAGCTATGCGACGAATTCAAGCTCCGCCGTCTTGTCTCGTGGCAAGCACATATGGCCGAACAGCCACTCACGGAGTGTACAGGAACACACACACACTTGGAGAGCTATCACTTGATCTCTGATGAACGCCTTATCAGATTGATAAAGCAGTTGCGATGTTGGCAACTGAAGAAGTCTCTTCGTTTTCACGAAATAGTGAAGATAGATAACTCACGATATCTTGGATATCGCTCTGTGCAGACTTGTGGTCATAACACATTGTGTTAAGCCACGGATTGCGCGTCTTTCGGCACCACACACGGGAAGGTCACTTCAGCACAACGCACAAAAATGAGGGAAACGCGGGAGCGTGTCGCGAAGCGACGCGCTCCCGACAAAGGCTAGAACGAGACTCCTAATAAGAATGAAAATATTACAACTATTAAAACAGCAACTCTTGAAGAAGTCTCTATCAGTTGAAAGATGCTACTACAGGTCTTCAAATTAACCTACTTTAGAGAACATTCTTATGGAAAAGACTAAAATAGAATTTAGACAAAATATACTCGAAATGGGGAATGGTAAATTGTTAGAGTTCCAACCAATTCATAAACCAACAAAATTGTTTATGCATGTACTTAAATTAAGCATTCATTGGAGAGACATTTACAATGTTTTCAGAGGCTTTAACTACACCCTCATGCCACTGTTTAATTACAGCTAAAGCAAATTTTAGCTCATGCTTCATGGATGACTTTACTTTAAGACAACAAATCTGGAAAATTTACTTTCAATAAATGAGTTGAGAAAGTGCCACCATCATACTTTTTTAATACACAACTAGTTGCCAAGATATCAGCATGAGTCCCTTTTGAGAAAAAATCATTCTCAAGAAAGAATTAAAAGGGCACCAGAATTGATTGACACCAAATAACAGCAGCATTTTTTCCTCTCCACTATGGGGAGCCAACTTCCTCCAGATAATCTTATGATATTTTACCTAAAAATAAGAAGAGAAGAGAAAAAGTTAGAACTCATTCAATAGAAGTTGCTTCAAAAGCAAAAAATTAGGATACCTGTAGCGACCCTGCATGGGAAACCAAAGGTATTCTGACCTGGCTAAATTTAATTATTGGGCATTAATTTCAAAAAGGGGATTTTCTTGTCCCTGGACCTTTTTTCACACTAAAACCCATGTACCATGCAATTTTTTTGTTTAAAACTTCATTTAAGTAAATTCTCTACAAAATTCATAAAAAAAAATGGACAAAGTATAAGTTTTTTTATTTTTGGGAGATTTTTTAAGGCGTGTTACTCACGTCCATAACGCGTCCCTACACTGAGGTTAGCAAGTTTACAGTGATTTATTTAGATGATTAACGAAGTAATGAATTCTGTAAACTGTTTCAGTATTTATATTATATTCTTCTGTTTAGAAAAATACACATTATAGGTAATTACTGTGCACTGGATAATTTTTTTACGCGAGAGAAAGCCTGTACCTGGGATTTGACTCAAGTCCATAACACCGAAGCTTGGTACCTAGTAGAGGCACCAGAGCGCGCGCGGAAGGTGTACACGTGGCTCCGCCATTAGCGGCCAGTACCTGAGGATGTGTTAAAGTGAAAGTACGTTTGTTTGGTGATCGTCCGAGTAATTAATTAGAGTGTGATAACTTCTTTTGGTGAGTAAATAATNAGGAATATTGTATCAAAAAACAGAATTTAGCAGATGCTGAGGTACTTGGTTTTCTAGATAGGAGCCCTTTTGACACTGAATTTGGGAGTCAATGTTGAGGTTCTGTTTTGTTCCATTTAGTTTTAGTTGTAAAGACATAACGACAGTGAAAGTTGGCAATCTCATTACTTGATTTGCGACGTCGCAGACTTACTGTCATACTTTATTTTTTAAACGGAAAACTACTCAACGGCAATTCCTTAAAACTGCAGTGATTTTTCTTCTCTGTGCAAAGAGAATTCTGCAAAAAGTTTAAGGAATGATGTAAATTTGTTCTCCTTTAAAAAAATAGCATAGAGGCTGAGATTTTCAGACACCGCAAACGAGATATGTGATTGCGCCGTTGATAAGCTTTGAATTGAGTATCGACACCAATACTGACTTTGATGGATCTATACCTCTAGAAGAAAATCAAAGGAAATTAGTGAATGTCTTCACAAAATAATCGATTGAATAATAGAATTGCTTCACTACTTTTGAGGCAGGGAAGTAGATAGCAATTTAAGAGCTCTGAAAAATTTCTCGCAACGTAGGAATAAATGCAAGAACCTAAAAACCTCATTTGAGCTGCATACTCATTTTGAATAAAGATCTATGAAAACAAACTAAAATAGAGGAGAAAGAGACTAAAAAATATTTACTGGAGGGGAGGAACCTCGAGAAAACATAAGGTCAATTTCAAGAATTTAGGAAAAAACCTAAGGAACTCAGCTGCTCTGTGCCCCTGCCTGCCTTTACTGAATCATTGTCCTCTTCTGCCGTGCTAAGGAAGAACGCAGTATGAACATTCCAGAGTTGCCAAATTTACTTCGATAGAATTATTATTTTTGAGGAATGTTATGAATAGTTTTCCTTTCAATTTTCAGAACCTGTAGATGCAATTACGAATAATATCTGGAAAAATTGGGAGAAAAATGGTCATAAGTTAACCAGAAAATTCGGATTTTATGAAAGGAAATTTGGCAACGCCTGAAGGTTTATGCGGCGTTCTTCCTTAGCACGGCTGTCTTGATGTGTGAGACTACCAATAATTACTAATTAGCCATTAATTCTTCAAGTTCAAAATCCACAACCATCGAGAAGATAATTATTGCATATTACAAGCTGGCCATCAAAATTACTATTTCGGCTAGATTGCCGATTAGCTTCGTCAAATCCGTGCTTCCCTCCTTGATCACAGTTCAAAGTGTTAAATGGGTCAGTTGCGTTAGTCTCAGAATTGTATTTTGATGACATCAGATTACAGATCAGCAAAAAATGACAAGATCTGTCCAAAACCCAAGTTTTCTTGTCCGATACCAGCGGAGATATTCCTCTTCAAATAGCATGGCGTATGATGTCATCCATCACAGTAGTGCATACTATAGTTTCTTCCACGTTGGTTTCATCTATGATTTAAGTAGAGCTACCAATACAAATGTGTACATCACTAATTGATGAATCAAAGGTGGATGGGACCATGGTGTAAGCTACCGCAGTGGATGACATCATACACTGTGTTTTTAAAAGGGCAATATTTCCATTAATACTGGATGGAAAAACTAAGCATCTGGACATAACTGATTCCTTTTTGCTAATCTATGAGCTGAAACCGTCAAAATGCACTCCTGTGACCAGCGCAACTGACCCATTACAAAGGATTCACCTCAATTAGAAATTTTAAATGATACAATACAAAAAGTCAGCGTCATTGACTCATTGTTAAGAGTCTGGGTAATACTTCTGGTAACAAGTCTTCGTTGAAGGCACCAAAATCCATACTCCTAATTAGCAGGCTTTTAGCTAATACAGGTCAATGGACTGCCACATCAGTAAATTTACCCACGTCTATTGATAATAATAGGCAGGAAAAATCTCAGTGTTTAATATGACCGCAGTAAATGATGATCTTCAGATACAAGATTTGATTAATTTCTGAAGCAGTCAAGCTACATAGAGGTCTTACCAGCGAGTACTCCAGCTGCAGATTTTGCTGTAGTAGTTGTTGATCCTTGCTCTTTTTCCAGCTGGCGTCCTAGATACTCCCTGAAATAAAACACAAATAAAAAAGTAACGACATAATTAATTAAGACAATTTTACTCCTTAAGTGTGTACGACAGGTATAATCCTAGACTCCAGTAGCAAAATATTTATATGCACGCAATAGTCATTTACCATTAACATGGATCTACTGAAAAACTAATACAGTGCTCTCTGTAAAGGGATCTCAAGGGACCCGAACATTCATCTGGTACAGAGAGACACCTACTGGACAGATAGGGTAATACATGTATTTAATATACAGGAAAAGGCGGGTGAATTTATCCTTTGCGGAGTTTTCTCTTACAAAGAAAGAGAATTACAGAAGATTGGGCAAAAAAAGAAAAAGGAAAATAGTTGATATGATTGGCAGGTTCTATACCCCACAAGTAGCTTATATCTCTTTTGTTAAGGTGTGCATTATGACATGCTCAGTATCCATGCAGCTTTCTTGTGATCACCTGCAAGTGTCACTTATGATTTAAAATGAAAGAAAAAGGAGAGAATAAGAGGGGCCGAAATGATTGAAGGACTGGTCAACATTAAAAGTTGGCTTGCTGGGCATTAAACAACGGGTTAAGGGTTTAAAGTTCTGCACTCAAAGAACACAGAGATGTTCCTTCAAAGAGAAAACTAATAATTGACTTTAGTTGTTGAGACAATACGGCCACCGCAAATAAGAAGTATTTCCTCAAATAGGTACTGGGATCACTATGAATTAATCATTTCCCGAAGCATCGCCATCACTCTCCAGATCACTAAAATGTTGGTGAAGGCCGCTCACAGGTCTAATAAAGAGGAGTGGGAAAAGAGAGAAATGCGAAGATTTAAATAGATAAGGGAAGAGCACAAAGTTTTCAGTGAAAGGCGCATGTTTGAAACTTTGATTTTTGATTGAAAAAGATTTGAAACATAGTTGCCAGGTTGTCTCAACATACTATCCTCTTGCTGAGGTTTTCAAAATAACATTGAACTGAAACAAATTGCTTCAAAGGTTTATAAAATGATTTATTTTTTCAACACCTAAAGTAGTTAGCCAATTGGTAGAGGGGTGACGACTGTCACGGTTCTAGTGCAGAATCCATTTGCTGTATCTAAAGTTACAATTCTGACCAATCTATCTAATCCAGGGTGACACTTAGCAATTTCTACTACTTACCAGCAGATAGATGGTAAAAATCTGTCATTCACCGTCACTTCTGTCATTGGTCAAAATTAAATGTAATATGACAATATTTCCGGAAAATTGATGAAAATATAAAGTTGAGAACTTTTTTGAGAGAAAAAATAGCCAAATGTTATGGTACTAAAAATCAGATACAAATATTTCTTAGGGAAACTACTTAGAATAAACCTCGATTAAGCATAGATTTCTGGTTTTGTTAAGTTATGGTAACATTGGAATACTACTGTATCTTCGTGAATTGATGTTTAAAAATTTTTAAGCGTTGATAAAATTTGGAAACCTTCACAAAATTGAGCAATGCCGATTAATAGTGTATATGTACGTAAATCGATCAGTGTTGAGAAAATTCGGCATTTTCGTGAAATTAGCCAATGTTGATAAAATTTGAAACTTACTTTAATTTAAAATAATGTAGTCAACATTTACGTTTTCATAAATATTGCAATGTTGGTAAAATTAATTTTTTTTCTTTTATTTATTGGTTAGAAGCATAGGGGACCACAATCAGTACAAAGTATTCACCCTTAACTTAGAATTCATAAAATTTGACTGCGTTGGCAAAATTTCAGAGCTCCAGTTTCAAAGCGATGTTGTGGCAGTACGGTTGCAACATGTGTCAACTGCACTGGAACATGTCATAATTTTTCTACCGATAATATAATTTGATATCAGTCCTTGACATCTAAATTATAGTCTATTTTAAAGCATGCTGAAGCACAAGAGAATGCATTGAAGTATATCCAAAAGTGCATTGCTCAAATACCTATCACATATCTAGCTCAAACTTAATGAGACCTAGGTTTTGAGTACCTAAATGCTAGAATAAAAACCAATGAATCTTAGAAAAATCGACATGAGTAAAAAAAATAGGACTGGAAGTACCCGAATAGCCCATTTAAACAAACAAAATAATGAAAAATTGATTTTTTTTTAGAAATCTAAGTTCAAATTTGTTTATCTTATGCCAAAATACCCTCAAATTCCAAGTTTCAGGCAAATCCATCAGCAAAAAACCGAGGTGACAATTTTCGGCCATTTTAAACTTTAACCGGCGGCCATTTTGGAAATTTCGGTTTTTTGGAAAATCTAACGTCAAATTCTTTTTTCTCGTGTCAAAATATCCCAACATACCGATTTTCACGCAAATCCATCGACAAATAACCGGTGTGAATTTTCGGCCATTTTGAACTTTAACCGGCCGCCATTTTGAAACGGTTTGAGATACTGACTTCGGGTTTGCGCGAAAAGTTTTCTTTTTTTATGCTCTTTCGAACGAGCTATCACAAAGGGGGTCTTCCCATTTGAAAATTAAAAGTTGGGGGCCGTTGCTCCCCCAAGGGGGGCCCCCCTGAAAATTTTAGGGGGGCCAAAAAGTAGCTCCTTTCGACCTAGGAATATCCCCCAAGTTTCAAATCTTTACCTCAATTAGGTAAAAAGTTAGAGGGGGTGGAAGGGACTTTTGGATCACCCTGTATGCATCTCTCATGAGAATTGGACCCAGAGCGGAATCTTGTCATACCCTCACCTTTTGTAAAGGCAGGTTACAGAAGTTCAATAATGGCGGAGTTTTTGATCCAGCTCCCAAGAAAAGGGGGGTAAAAGAAAAATCAACTTTTCGACATAACTTTTGAACGGTTGCAGATATCGAGTGGCAGAATCGGTTTTAATGGCGATTAGGAGTTGCAGAGCGCTACGGTACACTGGGTTAGTGGCATAATATAGATATACTTGTTCAAACTATTTGTAAATTAACCGAAGATGATGTCAGTGATAATCAAGATTTTGAAATTTTTTGCTTCCATTAAGTTAAGAATCTAATTTTTTTTATTTTTACTCACTCCTCATGTTTTCTGTAAAAACATCAATAGTCTGTGATGCTGAATGACTCTAATTAAATTAACTAACTAACTATCTGCAATCATTCTTAAAATATGATCAAGCAGGCATCAATGCTTTGAATGCACCCTCTGCGCAAGTGTGTAGGGCCGGCATGAAAGAATGGGTGGGTATAAAAGCCAACTTACCCTGAATACATACAGCCAAGATGATGCGGGTAACTTCTTCTCTCACAGAGTCACTGAGAATATCTGCTAGGATTGGAATGACGCCTAATCTGTGAATTTAAGAGCAACCAGAATTATGTTAGAGTGAAGGGAAAAAAATAGAGGTAGCTTCATTTTCTTATTGTCTTCTCTTACTACGCATGAACTTTTCTCTCAACCAGACTACACGATCAAATCATTTCCTTGTTAATCCCTTGATATTAGACTGACAGAGAACATTTTCCTCATTGTATACGGCCTGGAAAAGTTCTAAATTTAGTAACAATGCCATACAGGACAGTAATTTGTTTAATACATTGAAATTATACTAATTAGTAACATATCGACGGTGAAACTACCAAACCACGTATCTCGTTTGCGGTGTTTAAAAATCTACGCTCACATTTTATTTTTTTGAAGTAGACCAAATCAATATCATTCCTTGAAATTTTCACGGAATTTTCTCCGCACAAAGAGGGAAAATCACAGAAATTTTCAAGACTGGATGTTAAGTAGTTTTTCATTTAAAGAATAAAGTATGACAGGAAGTCTGCGACGTCGCAAACCGAGATACGTGGTTTGGTAGTTTCACCGTCGATATTAAACATTCATCCATATTCTAGGGAAGGGTTTCTGATTTTTAATGAACCGCTCCTGCCTTTAAACTTGTTCTTTTTCAACTGGTCTTCTAGCCTGATATTTGAGTTAGAGGTACCATTAGGGTCCAGCTTATTTCTGTCATGGAGGAAAATCGACGAGGTCCGGGTGGCAATCAGTTATATCTATGAAAATAATAGGCTGTAGAAAATTTGAGCCAATTTGAAGCTTTTTTAAATACACGGAAAAAAAAAGAATTGCTGATTCAGCAATTCAATTGCTAAAAACAGTGAGTGCAATGTTTCAACGCAGATTTTACAACAAAAAAATGCTACTTTAACCACCCCCGTGGTTAAATTAGTTTACAATGTGGTTAAAGTAGCATTTTTTGGTTGTAAAATCTGCGTTGAAACATTGCACTCACTGTTTATAGCAATTGAATGGTTGAATCAGCAATTTTTTTTTTCCGTGTAGTGCTCAAAGGGATAAAAAATATGGGTAAAATTACATTGGTTTGAATGGGCGGAAAAACGCCTGATCAGCGAAAATGCGTTTTGCGGATCTAATATGCGCTTAAATGAAGAAAACCGGACCAGCTCTAAGAGAGGCATCCAGGGGCCCTTTCAAGACGGGAAAATCACACTTTTGACCCATGGGTGATGGTAGGGGAGATCACTCAAGTGCAAGATAAAATATATACACCAATTTCATTCTAGGCTCAAGAAATAGTATGAGGCAACATTGTAAAGGGCCAAGTATAGTTCTCAAGAGCTGAAACAACTTTTATACAGTATTTCTCATCAAGTTGTGAGATACATTTGCCTCTTCAACTTCGGAACACTTATTTTGAGTTTGATCTGAAAGTCTCAAAAGCGATCACTTAGCTGTGGGCGCAGCGCCTCAAAACCAGCTACGCCATGACCCCGCTGTCCCCACTCATGGATCAAAAGTGTGATTTTCTCGTTTCCAATGGGCCCCTGGATGCCTCTCTAAGAGCTGGACAGGTTTTCTTCATTTCAGCGCATTTTAGATCCAAGAAATGCATTTTCGCAGATCAGGCGTTTTTCCGCCCATTCAAACCAATGTAATTTTGCCCATAGTTTTAATCTCTTCGAGCATCATCTAAAAAAGCTTCAAATTGGCTCAAATTTTATACAGCCTATTATTTTCATAGACAGAGCCGATTGCCACCCGGACTTCCTACATGACGGTCCCTAGCGAGGAATTTAAAACATTTATGGCATGATAAGGCTATCTGACCTGATATTTCAACAATTTAAAAACAAAATTCTTCTTCAACAGACAATTAACACTTTTAGACTTATTTGTATATACTCACTTGTTCATTTTTTGAGCAAATTTAGGGTTGAAAGGCAGTAACCGAAGACAGAACATAAGTTGGTACTGAATTTGGAAATTTACTTGTCCGGAGGCAAGAACTTTCAACAATGTTGAAGGCCCTCCAACTTTGATGAAAGCCAAACGATATTCATCGTGACGAAGAACTACTTGCAAGCATCTTCCGACAAAAAGAAGTCCTCTCCCTAGAAGACAACAAATTCGATGAAATCAGTAAACGCATCCTGAAGACGTCAGATCAAGATTGAACTGAGGCCCACTGTAAAGTGCCCACTGATAGTACCTAGGGTATACTTAAATGAGAAGGGTGTGGATTAAGAAGTTTAAGAAAAATTATATCTGTTTCAGAAGAGATGGGATTTTTTAATGCAAGTTCAAATATTAAAAGGTGACTTTTCCAGCAGATTCACTCATTTTCTTTTGCTTGAAGAATTTACTTTGAAAATTAAGTCGGACTTTTCCAGATCATCACATTTGAGGATTTAGGTGGAAAAACGGCATGAGTCAGAAAATAGCGGTTTGAGAAAACGAAGGTTGAATATTTTAAGACAAGATTCCTAGAGTGCCTGTATACTGAGAGTATGGACAGCTTGCTTCATGGAGGGTTTAGGGCCCAAACGGGTAGCCAGCTCTTTAACACACAAAATTTCACTGCCAATCTTCAGATTACAATTCAAATCAAGATGGCAAAGAATGTTCATAAATGTGCGTTCTTCAAAAATCAGTAAATTTATGCAAAAACTATGTCAAATACGTTCTTTGCAAACAACAGGTTGTGACAATTATAATAATAAATCGTTCTGGATGTATGTAATTCATAGGTTGGCTGCCCTTTTGGGCCCTAACCTTGTTTGCGCAGGCATCGGTGAAGGCCTGATGGATTTAATTTTCTGAGTTTCACACCTGTCTATACTCTTGCTGTACAGGTACTCTAATGATTACCAGCTATATACTAAAGATTTTGAGATCATGGGTTTGACAAAAATGATAGATCAAACCTTCGTTTAGAGGTTGGTACCATTGCATTTACTGAAATACAGTATTTGACATATTTAAAATGAGATTTACAAAAGCGCTACAGAGGTCGTTTTTCAAGAGAGCTACAGGCTATCAAGGAAAGGGAACTACTAAAAGATTATTATTATTTTTAATTAGAAAAAGAGTATTAACATTTTCTAAGTAAGCTCTTGGAACATCTCCTAAAAAATGCTTTCTACAGTATCGATGAATTGCTGAATGGTATAACCCAGACCACCCTCCTGGTTGAATAGCTGACTCTGCTTCTCTTCGTACTACTGAGGTAATTCTAGCCCTCTCTCGAAATTTGTAAACAATATTCTGTGCTTTCGGATTGTTATCTTAGAAAATTAATACTTTTTAGTTGATTAAAAAAAACTTTATTGTACCTGAATTGACCTATACTATAGCCTCACGGCTCCCGTGTATCAAAATGTAATAAATAAATAAATAAATAAATAGATAAATAAATAAATAAATAAAAACAAGCTGTGAACTCCAACACAATGTGTTGATAAGGCGCGTCATTAACTCGCACATATCAAACCCTTTAGTTTTCATTTACAGAGATTTCAAAAAAGGCAAGCAGCACAACAAGAGAATTCACGATCCAACACTGCAAGGTCAACGACGCACCTTGACGAGACCGTGTATTTGTGAATCTATAGAAAGCTATTCGAACAAATTTAAGTTTTTTGATCTGCCTCAAGCAAAATCTTATCAGATTCTTGAAGAAAAGTGCTACGGAAAAATTTAAGCGAAGAAAGGAAAAATTCTGTCGAACTCCTAGAAGATAAAGTCGATTTAAAGGTATTTTGGGGCTAAAATACCCAAATCACCGGTATTATGAATCCCGTTATATTATTGAAAAGAAATTGACTCGATATAAATGCAATTGTATTAAATATGTCTTGATTTTGTTATTTTAAACGCCTTTTCATGCAAAGAAGCTCAACCATGTCCATGCTTTATTCATTCATGAATTGAATGTAAGCAATCCACATCCCGAAAATCTACCGATTTGCCGTAAAAAATCGCAGAAACTTGATATACCAGGTCGATGTACCCACTCTTTGAATTTACCAATCAATTTAGTGAGTGCACGTATGTGAAAGTCAAAATGCTATAGTCATTTTGGGTGCATTCATTTTTCATGAAACAATTGTTAGTAATTTCAATCCCGAAAAACCATAAATTTTCCGTATAAAATCGAAAAAATCAAAATATGTCGACTCCCTGACGTGAAAATTAAATTCTACGTGTGAAAATACTTATGTTTCGATATGCTGAACAGAATGCTCGCATCTCCTCGTAATTTACAAACCGTTCCTATACTCATCTCAAAATTTTTCTCAGAGCTTTGTGTTGTAATCAGCTTCCATTTAAACTCCAGTTTGATGGCCGAATCGGCTGCCCAAAAAGCAAGCCATTTTTGAAGGGCTCTATGAGAAATTCGTGATATTATCAGCTCTTAGGAAATCACCCCATGGGTAAAATTGCTGGTATAAATTTTCGAGTGCAATTGTATTCAAGAAACTAAGGCATTAAACTATGGAGTCAATTTCGTTTTAATAATATAACGGGATTTACTTGTCTTCAGGTCAAAACTCATACAAGGAAGCCCCGTGCAAGAGGCTAATTTTTTGTAATTTCACTCAATTTTTTCTTCTTTTTATAATTGAATTGCTTGTCATATTCTGAGGTCAATCATATTAAATTGTAATTTATACATTTCTTTTTTCCCCCTTCATTTTATTTTTTGTTTGGAGAAGTTTTGTTGATTTCTTCGGATTTCGAATACTGTAACTTCTCTTCTATTTGGCCGATTTTTATGAATGAGACCTCTTTTAATTCGTGTTTTAACGGAGAGGAAGGAAAAAATTGCTAAAAACTCGCGAAACAATTTTTTTTTTGAAAATTGGACGAATCCTAGCGTGACGGTAAAATGGTTAATGAAGCGTAAGTAATTGAGCGAGGGGCTGAGGATCGTCGCTTGGCGACCGTCATTAGCTATTGTTCGTCGAGACGCCGACGCAGTGAGCAGGAGCGTGGGGAAGAGAAGGGTAAGTGGATTCCTGTATGAGCCACGTTTAGCTAATGGTCTAATGAGTCTCGAGGCTCATCACAGATTGCACTTACACAGATTGCACTATCAGAGCACGGGTACCAACTTTTGAAAAGTATAACCGAGGTTACAGATCTGTCAAAGCAACGTTTTGAACAAAACGGAGGAGTTAAATTCTCATTCCGAGAGTGCCGACCTGCTCAGCCATCCTCGAATCAATTCGCTTGATTCTTCTTATATATGCATATTTTAAATCAGCGCGTCGCATTCTTAGGCTTTTTTTAAAAAAACCAAGTAACGTAGACTCTTGGTATTCACTGCACATAAACTAGAGACCCCCAGAATGAGAAACAACTTTAAATCATAATTATTGATGGATAAATAAACTTTTTACACGCTTTGGAAAATCTCAGAAGTTCGCGGTAGTCACTTTTCGGTAAGGAACTAAGGGACTCGGTTATTGTATCGAGCAGGGTTCGAAACGATCGCAAAGGCGGTATACTACGTATACGCGCCAAAAAAGCATATTTATGTTGAAAAAGTTTAAAAGCCCCCTCAGTACATGTCTAGGAGTAAAGGGGACAAAATTAAGAAGGGCCAGCTCCACTGAGTTCATCAATCGAGACATCGTGAATCTTCAGCCTCACATTTGCTTTCACCATCGCTGCTTGTGAGAAGGGTCTCTTCCTCAGCTATAATGGGGTCGTGCATTGAAAAAACCTTAAAAGACCAGCCAATTTTCAGCTATGTGGAGAATTTGTACAGAAATTTTGACAGATAACAGTCATGACCTAAATGATTATTGTCACAGAATCGTAACTTTGCAAAAAAAAAAATCCTGTAACTTGCTCAAATCTTGAAATACTGTCATGAAATTTGGTGCGTAGTGCCTTATGGTATGTTGTATGGAAATATCAGTTTTCCAGAAGAACAACCTGCGCTCCCCCACACCATTGTGCCACCTAGCTCTTTATTTATTTTATGTTATATCGTAGGAAATTAGCAATCACAGGAAATAAGCAATCATCAACAATCAGCATCGAGTGATGCAATTTTAAAAAAGTGATGTCTTTTTTTTCTCTCTCTTTTCTCATCAAAAATTTTGCTAAGAAGTAGAGACCGCCGGATCATGTGGCAAAGGCAAGATGCTTTAGAACTTTTTGCACCTGCAGAAACAGAATTCTGAGGACAACAGATGCATTACTGAATTAATTAGAAGTAATAGCAGAAAATCATTGATCCATTTAACTTACACTCAATTTTAATTGTCCATTCAACCGATTCAGGTAAAAGTGAAATCAGAGCTGTCAAGTAAATTGGCAGATGGGTTCCAACAGGCAATCTTGGCGATTATTCTGGCAGACATATTCACAATGAATCCATCAGATCCATTCAACAAGTTCAAAAACTGACCGCAAATAGGTTCTCGCTTCTTGGCACAATACTCGGCAAATATTTCAACTCTTGACCTGTCCTCCTGGATTTTAAAGTACAGAAAATGTTAATTATTAATTATAATAGAGCACACTTCACATCAACTGAGAAAACCAGTTTTCTAATGCAATACTCTGAATTTGAAATTCATTTCTTGAGCCTGCAACAATTTAGGAGAGATCTCTAACAGGTTTTGAACTAAAATATAAGGAAAAAAGAACAGAAAAAATATGAGCTGTTTGTTCTAAAAAATTATTCCAGTTCTCATTGACTAACAAAAAAATGTTACTTGATGAAAAATATTTATAACTCATACCTGAGACAAATCTATGGAGGCCAGTTTGGATAAATTGGTTGCTTTGAAGAGCAACTCATGCTCAGAGATATCCAGTGGCTCTGGCGCCATTTTGATATGTTTTTAAATCTGTAAAAAGGAGGAATCTACATTAGGAAGAAGACAACAAAATTCTTTGGGCTTCTTTGATTCAAGATTCTTTTATTTTATTTTTTCAATATGATGGGCAGGTTTTTAATGTTGCAAAAGCAACCTTCCGAAAATAACACCACTCACTAGGACACTTATCGATTTTTTGCCGACTACTTTTACTTGTGTAAACAGTCTATAGCAAATCATTTAGCCAGTCCTACAGAGCGGAGAGTGATACAGTAAGATTACCGCTGAAGTTGTCACCTCAAACAGGAGTTTAACTCGTCTCAAATGAAGTTTACAAAGATACAAGGTATATGGCAAAATGCTTTAGTTCTTGTTCTACATACCCACTCTACTGAATTAAAAACGGAGCATACACTGTAAACCAAAAATTAATATTCTTGAGTGTTGCACGATTCAAAACCAGAGGAGGTTGAAAGTGGAGAGTATATAAAATTGGTCAAACAACTTTATTCCTTCAAGAGATAGGACAAACTTGTGTAAACAAATCAGAAGCGATACAGCTAACTTGAAGTAGAGGTGTCGTCAGCTAAGTTGGCACTTGAATACATATCGTTTGCAAGCAACTATAATGTAGTCATCCAACAGGAATCGAGGATTGACTAAGCTGACGATCCGGCTGCTGTCAATCTGTTATTGCTGTTGGACAATTGCACCGCAATTGCTTGCGAGTGGAATCTTAAGAAGTGCCGACTTTGCTAATGCCGCCATTTTGAAGTTTTCAAATTTGAGAAAACCCTTGATTAGATATTTGCAAATATCTCCTCAACGGCTCATCCCACGAAAAAACAAAAAAACCAACAGAAAGCACATGAAACTTCCTACCGAAATCACTCTCCCCTGTTTTATCTCGCTCACTTTGCTGGTCATAAAATTAACGTTTTCTTCAAAAATTAGCTTAAAGAAGGCGCATTTTTGCTGATTTTAGGAGAAACTTTGCTTTAAATCTCCAGCCACGATTATCTGAGAAAAAAACTGTTACGCTCATTGAAAAGAGCGTAAAATTTACTGCTGGAAAACATACCAATAGTTCCTAATCTTGATTATATTCTGTGAAACAGCAGTTTATTAGCTCGGCCCTTAAATTGTGACCATCTCCTTTCAAAACAAGAAAAAAAGAAGGAAAAAACCTGAAACCGAGGCTCAAACTGTGTAACAATGTGGTAAAATAGTGCTAGGCCCACACTATATGGATGGAGGGGGAGGGGGGGGTGCCAAAAAGTTCTAACATTTTCTATCAGAGCCAACAATTTTGAGCTCTAATAGCGATCAGTACAAAACTGATGGGGGAGTGTTCAGCCCAGGCAGTTTGTATTGGACTATTAAGGTGAGGTAACGTCGAGAAATCAAAAATGTTGGGTCTTCTTATACTTCATCAGTAGATCACACTAGTCAGTGAATCCAACTGAAAATCTTGCAAAATCCAAGACAGCATCAAAGCACAAGTTCTAGGTACAAGTCCTGTACTGCAAGACGGTAAGTTTCGTATTAGTACTCATTAGAGCTCACAAGTTTTGATTCTAATTGAAAATTTTTGAATTTTGGGGCTTTTGATCTCACTAACTAGTGTGATCTACTGATGAGGTGTAAAAAATTCCAAAATTATTGATTTCTCGACGTTACCTCACCTTAATAGTCCAATACAAACTGCCTGGGCTGAACACTCCCCCATCAGTTTTGTACTGATCGCTATTAGAGCTCAAAATTGTTGGCTCTGATAGAAAATGTTAGAACTTTTTGGCACCCCCCCTCCCCCTCCATCCATATAGTGTGGGCCCAGCACTATTTTACCACATTGTTACACAGTTTTAGCCTCGGTTTTAGGTTTTTTCCTTCTTTTTTTCTTGTTTTGAAAGGAGATGGTCACAATTTAAGGGCCGAGCTAATAAACTGCTGTTTCACAGAATATAATCAAGATTAGGAACTATTGATATGTTTTCCAGCAGTAAATTTTACGCTCTTTTCAATGAGTGTAACAGTTTTTTTCTCAGATAATCGTGGCTGGAGATTTAAAGCAAAGTTTCTCCTAAAATCAGCAAAAATGCGCCTTCTTAAAGCTAATTTTTGAAGAAAACGTTAATTTTATGACCAGCAAAGTAAGCGAGATAAAACAGGGGAGAGTGATTTCGGTAGGAAGTTTCATGTGCTTTCTGCTGGTTTTTTGTTTTTTTCGTGGGATGAGCCGTTGAGGAGATATTTGCAAATATCTAATCAAGGGTTTTCTCAAATTTGAAAAATTCAAAATGGCGGCGTCCTGAGCACCAGACAATTTTCCTGAAGTTTCTATGGGCATTTTCAGACTACTTTAGCACCTAGGAAATGAAAAAAATTGGTTTGGTTCGAAGGACAAACCAGAACCGTAAATTTGTTGTGTTGTGTAATCAAAGTAAAGTATGAAGAGAATGATGGACTGAAATTCAAATTCATTATTAGGATTTATTAAGTAATTCCAATTTTTGAGAAAATCAAAGCACAGAAAGGACACTCTTCAGTTGCAGTGTTCCAGAATCTTCAACAATTTTTCATCAATTATGATCAAGCAAATGTATGTAATTCGCTGAAACTCCTACCTACTGAATATTCTTCATGATTTTATGATTCTCTAGATGAAAATTTTCAGAAGATTCACACAGTAGTTTCCTCTCTGAAAGCATGAAATTTCCCTCAGGGCAATAGTTCAAAAAAGTAATTATCATTTGGCAAGCGAGAATTTATCATTGTATAATCAATTGAATTCTAACTCTATGGCATAAATCCTAGAAAAAATGAAATTTTCCTATGAATAATGGCAAAAATAAGATGGAAGTCAATAGACGGAAAAACTGAATGAAAATCAAAAAGACTAAGACCTTTGACAAGTCCACAACCAAGACCGTTTTCTTGCTAAATGCGCCAGGTAATTTCAGGCACAGTGACTGGTATTTTGCATGTACTATAACAATTTTCATTGTTTCAATTGTACCAATTCATACTAAATAAATAAAAGATCACAAATTGTGGTTTGAAGCATTAAAATATCCCTTTTTTTCTTGCATGTTTTTTTGGCCCGGCAAGATCAGTTACACATCTTAGACACATTGGTAGAGTACGTGATGCAAGTTTTCACCTGTAATACACCACTTTAATTGCCTACTGAATGTCGAAAACTAACAAAATTAGAATGCTCACCTGAAAATACATGATATTTAGCAGCTTGTTCACTTCAGGAGCTAATACTTCAACAGTCTTTTCATAGATTTCCACCCAGTTCGGCTGCTCATTGGACTTTGATTGCAGTATGGCTCCAGAGCAACATCGCCACGTGTACAGCATGACCGCATGTTCCAAGCCATCTTCCAACAGTTCGTTCTGGAGCATTACAAATGGATATTTTACAGGATTAGTAGATTGAAAACTTCAAATTCACAACATGGCAAAGCTCTGAATTTTTAAAATGACCAAAACCGGTGTTGATTAAGCCTCGATGAAAAAACCTATTGACAGTTTTCAGTGCATATACCATAAAGGTTCAAAAATTGATACATTTACATTTAAAGGTCGATCTGCAATGGATTCCTTGGATAGTTCGAAATCTTTAAAATTAGAATCAAGGGTCATATGAACTTCCATCAAAGAAATACATAAATTTCTGATTTCCTTCTAAAATAGATGCCTCTACCAATTTTCAAAATGTCTGCGTTAAGTTGAAAACACTTGCATGGAACTAACTTTTCGAATACGATGTTTCTGCTCCTGCCATGGCTCTGTAATGATTTAGGTAAGAGTGAAAGAGTCATATCATTTTTTCTGAGTACCGATTGAAGCATGTTATCAGTAGTTCTTGATATTATTCATTCACTGCTAAAAACTTATGATTTCCTCTCATTTATCTCAAAATTATCTTGAAAAAGCAAGATTTTTCAAAAAATCATAAATTATCATTTATCATCCATTCAATTAGACAGATTAACGGTGGTCGAGTAGCAGGAATGTGAAGCTTCCCAAATTGGCGTGAACAGTGGCTTCTTCAATGTACTTTGCTATGCCAGTGACGAACCCATTCCGGTCTTCGAAGTTGGTATCAAAGTTAGCTTGATAAATGACAGAGCATGGCTAAGCTTCGATAAGCGGTAGTTCATCAGGTAATGTAAATGTAAGCTCATCTAAGGCATCAACGTTGGATAAGGCATCAGTTAATGTTACCCTAGCTGCTGCCATTTTGAGACGTTGACTCCTTTGAGCAAAATACCATCAAAGACATAAAAATGTGACTTGGCAAGTACGCATTGTTGTACATGGAACTTAGAGGAATGAATGGTTTTGAAAACATACCCACTCTATTAGATTAAGAACAGAGAGTACACTGTAAACCAAAAATAAATATTCTTGACTGTTGCAAGATTCAATACCAGAGAAGGTTGACAGTTAAGAGTAGATAAAATTGGTCAAACAACTTTAAGCCTTCAAGAGGTAGGAAAAACTTGTGCTTAACTATCAAAAGTAATTCTGCTAACTTGAGGTAGAGGTGTCATCAGCTAAGTTGGCACTTGAATACATATCGTTTGCAAGCAACTACAATGTAGACGTCCAACAGTAATCGAGGATTGACTAAGCTTAAAGTCAGGCTGCCGTGAATCCCCTATTGCTGTTGGACAATTGCATCGCAATAGACGCTATTGGTGGCACATCACAAAAAAGCGATATTTATCGATTTATTCGCATTAGTAGCATTGAAAGAGGTTACTCCAATGTTATTGTTTGGATCCAATTTGATATAATGGAGAATCCATATGATGACATCGCCACTAACGGCGTCTATTGCTTCCAAGTGGAATGTAAATAAGTGCCTACTTAGCTGACAACACCTCTAGTGAGCAGAGTAAGCAGGTAATAGCGAAAAAATTTAGACTTGAAACAATGGAAATAAAACATAGGAGTGGAAGAATGGGTCAGTTGTGCTGGTCTCAGAATCGTGTTGTGATACTTCATTCTTGCAGATCAACTAAAAATGATAAGATCTGGCCAAACAGCAAATTCCTACGTTGAATATTAACCAAGGTATCTCGCCTAGAAAAACTCGTTGTATGATGTCATCCACCGCAGTAGGACGTATCATGTTATGCACTACAGCAGTGGATGACGTCATAAATCGAGTTCTTCAGGGCGAGATATCTCGGTTAATATTCAAGGTAGAGAGTTGCTGTTGGGACAGATCTTTCTATTTAGAGCTAATCAACTAGAAACAAGCATCAAAACATGATTCTGTTATCAGCGCAACTGGCCCATTGAATGAAGAAAGAGAAATGAGAGGGTGAAACAGTGGCTAAGCTATCGATTCGCAGGGAAGAGATGGTCTTAGTGAGCTTTCAAAATAATGAAATGGGCCTCATTATCACAGCATGACTACATGCAGACAGACTAACTCTTTCCTTCACAGATTAAACAACATGAAAGTGAAAGAAGGAGAGAGTTAGAGGACGTTTGGGGAATGAGGAAGTTACAATTCTTGAGGAGGAAATTTAGGCGGGAAATACCTGGCAGTCGAGTCCGAACTAGGACCATCATTAGGTAGGTGTGGCAACAATATTCACAGTTCTTGCTATTTGCAAGGGATTGGGAAACAAAACCTGTAAAACACTCTTCACTGTGCTCAGAGGTTCCTTCGTTAAAGTTAGCTTCAGTCTCACACACAGGAATCGATTGTTGAAATTCTTATCAGCATGCCCAGGCCTAGGGGATTAGGGTCTTCCAGGAGCAAAGCTCACAAGTTCCTTATCTTGTCCTGGCGTACCAACAGAGTTTCAAGAACCGGTCTGCATTCATTGATTGACTAGATAAGGTAAGAGGAGATAAAGAGATGCCTCTTGCTCTTGGTCCATAGCGGAGTCTCCAAGACAAGTCCAGTGACACAAAAAGACATGTTCCGTCACAGGAGTCTGATGACAACTCTGTTGTAACATCGTAAGTTATGGGAAATTCACTACGTCCTCATAAAGGAATCAGTGGTGTAAGCTTCCGCAATTTAGTTGAAGGAGAGGCGATTGAAAGGAATACAAGAAAAACGACTTGTACCTGTAAAGATCCACTCTGAACTTCGGTTTCCCTGCACTTCCCATGGCTTCTTCTTGATTCTCGTTGACCCTGGGGTTAAATCTTCGTCTCGAATTGATGAAATACTTCTAAATAAGCAGAGAAGATGACAGTTGTAACGGCTAATAATTAAATAAATTAAAATTATTTGAGCGATCTAGATCTAAGGGCCGGGAGGACCTACGCGGGAAATTGCATGATTCGATTCGTGATTACACATGGCCGCCATATTGAATTGAATTCCGCGCTACAGGTGGACGAATATCGAATATCGAAATACTCGATTGCTCGAATATCGAAAAATCGATTCATTACCATAGCTTCTAACGGGGACGTAGCAATATTCGATCGTTCACAAAATTTGTCCAGAAATCCGCCCCGGCTCATTGACACCGTTTTCGCCCGCTCGAGCCGAAGCGCCACCCGGCCCCCATAGAGAAAAAAAAGGAGGTGTTTGCATTTCGGGCATCTTGGAATTTTTCATAGAGTATCTATAGCTTTGATGACGTCATTGGGTACAGCGACGTTTTTATCCTGTCGATTTTCTTGGAAATGGTGTAATTTAAGGGAAAAAGTCATTCTATAAAAAGTGCTTGAAATTAAATAAAGAGTTGATTTAAGTAAAAAAATCGGACATTATGGTCCGTTTTTACAGCGTCAACATAACCCTCAACGAGCGTCTTGTTTACATTGATGACGTAGGTGGGTACAAATCCTCAAGATGCAAACACCTCCTTTTTCTCTATGCCCGGCCCCGGTCATCGCCTTATTTACCAACCAACTTATTCCACCCGTTTCTGGGGATTTCGTGCTAAACTATAGTATTTCTGGGTTATTTTGATCGTAGAATTCATTTTTGACCTTACTTCTCTTAATATCATGACGCAAATACACAATTTTACGCGTTCTTTCAAACTTTCCGTAGAAACATAAAACTATATGTTAGGTACTCAAAGATAAATTTTACCTACTCGTTCTTGTGGGCATTTCGCGTTGAAACTTGGGATCCTTGCGTACTTTAGATCGTAGGATTCATTTTTGACCTTACTTTTTTGACACAAATAAAAATAAAAATTGCTGAAAAAATTGGCTGAGAAACAAAAGGACGCTGTACGAAACGACATGGAAAATTTTCCCTCCAAAACATGAGCAGTTTGAGAGCCAGACCCAGTGTGCATTGAAGTACCATGTAGACCGTGAATTCATTAAATAACAAATATCTCATTCATTAGCAATGGCCATTGTATTACATAATAGCTATATAATACATAAAAATGGTGAACCAGGGCTCAGGATGAAACTCGGTCATTGCGACTTTGAATGATTTGTTGTCTACCATATCAATCAGCTGGTCATGGCAGCATTCAAACTTAAAATTTCAGAGGAAACGATCAAAAATGAAAACAAAAGTACTCACACGACTTTACGATTAAGTTTTCTGATCAGCTACATATTTCTTGCGTCCCTTACCTATTAAACATTTTATCAATCGATTGAAGCACATCAGGAACAAAAACTCATGAAGACTCAGCGCTCCTCACTCACATTATCAAACAAGCAATAATAAAGAAGCTTCCATCATTTATAATTTGAAATAGTGACATTACTCAAGAGCTTACATCCCAAAAAGCACTTTTATAATTGAAATTAAAATTATACATAGCCGCCATATTGAATTCCGCGCTACAGGTGAACGAATATCGAATATCGAGATTCTCGAATGTTCGAATATCGAACAATCGATTCATTACCATAGGTTCTAACGGGGACGTAGCGATATTCGATCATTCACGAAATTTGTCAAAAAAACCACCTCGTCTCCCTGCCTGACTCCGTATTCTCGCACCCGCTCTAGCCGAGGCGTAATAATACCCGGCCCCGGTCATTGCCTTACTTACCAATACTTGTCTCGGCTATTCCACTCGTTTCGGGGGATTTCGTGCTAAACAAAAGTACTCTTATGTTATTTTAATCGTAGAATTCATTTATGACCTTACTTTTCTTAATTTAATGACGCATAAATACCTCCACAATTTTACGCGTTCTTTCAAACTTTCCGTAGAAACATAAAACTATACGTTTCTCAAAGATAAATTTTACTCGTTCTTGAGGGCATTTCGTGTTGAAACTCGGTGACTTCAGGGACTTTATATCGTAGAATTCATTTTTGACCTTACTTTTGTTGATTTGTTAAAACAAACACGTATGATCTCGGGGGTAAAAAGAAAAGGTACTCACCGATAGATAGATAGATTGTATTCGTCCTGGTTGACATTTCGTGTTGAAACTCCGCAAACTGCTTAATGGTATTTTGATCGAAAAATTCGTATATGACCAAACTTATGCTAAGTAACTTATGTTAAGTTATGCGAANGAAGGGGGGGGGGGGTGTCAGTAGCGTGCGGTCCTAATAAGCGTAAGGCAAGCAGCGCTTGCCGAAATATTTCAGAAGAGGAAAATTACACCTATATTCCATGTTTTAAATTTTAGCAAATGATAACATGTATAAATTAGTAAGTAAATAAAAACAGAAAGGGGGGAGAGAGAGAGACAGATACGTACACTTAAAGCAGCCACAAAAGTAGGAAAGCGGCTAAGCGAACGGTTATGGCGCAGCGCGCTGCGGGGCCTGAGCAGTGTCCCTTGCGATGGGCTTAGCGCCAGGCGCCAGCGCACGCTGAATTGCTGAGCGGAGAGCCAGACGGCTCGGCGGCGGAATCACGGCGGGGCGGGTGGGGAGAGTGGTACGTTCCGTCCGAGTCCGAGCGCTTCGCTGCGCGATCGCTGCTTTTGCCTCTGATGAGAGATGATGCGCTGGCCTGTTCGCTCTTCTCGTCGCGTCCATAGAGTACAATAGAGTCGCAAAGTACTGGAGCGCCGATGAAGCCAATCCATTAACAGGCGTTTCCGAGCCACGTGTGCTCCGAAAATAGTGAACCATTTGCGAACCCAACGGCATTTTGTAACACGGCGGCTTATGGAGAAATCAAGAATTGCTTGTGTTTTTTAGGTATTTTATAATTCAATCAGCATTAATTTTTGCAAATTTTGCTATTTAAAGGTAGTCAAAGCCATAATGAATCCATTGATGTATATTACTCCTGGATAATATTCATA